AGCCTCAGACAATTTAGCTCCTAGGATCGTTGAGACACTCAAACCCCTCCACCACGGTAAATATAAAATCCCAACAGGTAGGCTAAAAAGGTCAGTAGTAATACCAAATGACCGGTTTTCAATAGTACGCTGATTGTTGGAATTGTAGGCTGCACAAAAAATGGGAATAGTTGCTCACCCTGTGTTGACTCCAGTTGGGTTTGGAGAGTGTAGAGATCCATCCCTATATGGGGCTAATCTGATACGCTGTCCAGCGCCCAATGGCGCGTCCACGTATTCACATCTACGGTTCTAAAGAAAACATAGTTTCTTGTTTGCTTTCAACAAGTTTACCTGAGTCTGTTGAATTTTTTTATGGTTATGTCTTCAGCATACAGAGATATGTTTGCTTATTTATTATGAATATATCTTTATATACCTAAGTGACTTAAATAATAATGATGTCTAAATGTCATTACTTTTTATTACGGTGAACAAGTGACCTGTGAATCATGTTTTTGGATTAGGCATTCATGACAGAGAAAAACAAATGGACATGTCATATGAGATCATAAAACTTGAAAGAAAAAAATCTTGACATTGAAACATTTGGAGTAAAAAGCTTGAGGTTATAAAATCAAGAGGTTTGTTTTTATGAAGAATTAGCTGGCAATTCAACCACCTAAACCATTTTTCTTCTAATTTAATTGAAATAATATTAGAAAATAAAAATCCTGGTCTCTCTTGGCTTTTGAGAAATTATTAAAAATCACAACTATGCAAAAATTCATAACTCTACTATTTTAATCATGATTACTCTGTTAAATGCTTCCTAGAATAACAGCATTTCATTGGAAACACTTCCTGCTGCGTGTATGTTTGTGTTTATTTCATGTTGCAAACAAAGAGGGAGAAGTTTATAGGAATATGAATGCATACAATTATCAACTTCCATGTTAGCTCTCTCTGGGGATAATGGATGAAAATAGAGTTTAATGAGGAAGAGATGAGAGGTGAAATGAAGAGAAAATCTTGTTAGGGAAGAGGAAGTGTGAGAGACGAGATGTTATGAGGAGAATAAAGCTGTCTGGTGGGAATCATTTGGGTGAGAGAACGCTTCACTCTTCTGGGGAATCTGTGTGAAACCAAATTATTATAGACAACACGATTACAACAAATGCCATCTAGGGAAGAAGGAGACCAAAAGACAGGAGCACAGAAAGTCAAAGGAAAACGATAAAACATTTAGAGATTTTTATTGTTTTTCTTGCCTTAAATTCAGATCAGACATGGAGAAAAAAAAGAACTGGATGATTTGCTGTACGTTTAATGAAAAAAATATATATACATATACTGTACACACTGCCTGGCCAAAAGAAAGGTCACACAATATTTAGTTGGACTGCCTTTAGCTTTCATTACATACATTTGCTGTGGCAATGGTTCGATAAGCTTCTGCAATGTCACCGGATTTATTTCCATCCAGTGTTGCATTAATGTTTCACCAAGATCTTGTACAGATGATGGTAGAGTCTGACCGCTGCACAAAGTCTTCTCCAGCACAGCCCCAAGATTCTCAATGGGGTTAAGGTCTAGACTCTGTGGTGGCCAATCCATGTGTGAAAATAATGTCACATGCTCCCTGAACCACTCTTTCACCCAATGAATCCTGGAGTTGTCATCTTGGAATGTGCCTGTGTCATCACGGAAGATGTAATAACCTGGTCATTCAGTATATTCAGGTAGTCAGCTGACCTCATTCTTGGAGCACATCCTGTTGCTGAACCTAGACCTGACCAACTGCAGCAACCCCAGATCATAACACTGCCCCCACAGGCTTGTACAGTAGGCACTAGGTATGATGGGTGCATCACTTCATCTGCCTCTCTTCTTACCCTGATGCACCATTACTCTGTAACATCTGGACTTATCAGACCAGTTTTAATAATGCGTTGGCCAGTTCTTAACCCAGTTTTAGTCATTTCTGCAATCTCCTTAGATGTTTTCTCTGCTTGATGCATGCCAATGAGCTGACCCTTCTCAAACATCTTTTCCACAACCACCAGATGTGTCTTTCCACATGTTTAAAAAATGAGAAGCAACTCATTGCACTGGGACAGCAGTAGCTCAGGAGGTAGAGCGGGTTGTCCAGTAATCAGAAGTTGCAGATTCAATCCCAGCTCCGACCAGAGAACGCTGCTGTTGTGTCCTTGGGTAAGACATTTAACCCGCCTTGCCTGCTGTGGAGTTCAGAGGGACCGGTGGTGCCAGTGTTCAGCAGGCCTTGCGTCTGTCAGTGCTACCCAGGGCAGATGTGGCTACATCGTAGATAATCATAAAAAAAGGATAAACCCTTTTATTGATGTAAAACAGAGAAAACCAATCAAAGTAATTTTCTTATTCATTTTAAGACTGTGAATGTGTAATGCAAAAACATGACTGATTAATGTGTACAAGTTTATTAATGCACTCAGACCATACCTTTAAAATAAAAGTTTGTTTTTGCATTAAACATTTTAGATTTGCAGCGTGAAGGAAGGACATTATTCAGAGGACTATAGTGTGTAGTAGTCCTATTCGTTGAGCCTTAATGCAGCCATTCAGCTGCTGATTTAAAGCGACTGGCAGTCAGACAGATAAGGGGTTTTGCCAGAAAGGCAGACAGAGGGTGGACAGGCAGAGCAAACAGACAGATGAGACACTAAACAGAAATGGAAAGGAACAGGATTGTTCTGTAATCTAATGATAATGATGACTGTGTGTGCAGGCTCTAGCTCTAATTATCTGTCACACACTGAAATGGAATAAGTCTTCAGGGAGAGCGAGCTATAGGAGGAAGGAGGGAGGGAAAGCAAAAAGAGAGAGAACAATGTCTGCATGACAAGACCGCAGTTACACAACACAAGAAAATGATGTTATAATAATGTTTCTGTTCTGTCAGACATCTTTAACAGCAGGAAATAGGAGTTTTGCTACAGATTTTAATGGCTCCTGCAGTAACATCTTCATGGGGGAAAAAAAGAGCTTAACAAAATGCAAACGGGAAAATACTGATTGAATATTGATTCAGTTTAACCAAATGTATGTTCTACAGAGTCGGCAATTTTTTCAATCTACTTTCTTTGAAAAGATATTTTTATGCATCAAAAGATTTCTGCACATCTGTATTGAGTGTAAAGTTCCAAAAACATTTTATTCCCAAGTTCAGACTAAGCCGGGAAGAAAATACACTTTAATCTGTGGAACTATGTAGAACAGTTTGAATTTAAGCAGGGAAAAAATAAATAAAAACATTTTAGCGTCTCTAATTTACTAAATGTGTCCTGTGACTGAAAGCACAGCTGGGTTTCTAGTGATAATCCAAAAAATATGAATGATAAAAGACTTATACTTGATTTGTGCTTTTCTGAATCAGAGGACTCCAACGCTCTTTACACTACAGCCTGTCATTCACGCTCTGATGGTGATGAGCTGTGCTGTAGTGAGGCTGCCGGTCCCTCCGACCACCACCAGCCAGCCATCGGTTACAGGGTGAACTCCTACGCCTTCAGCCATCACTTCTGAATAAGTGTCATTTAGAAATCTTTGCTTTCTGAAATCCTTGTTTGTGCTCCAGAAAGCACAAACATTGTATGCTGAAAACTATTCCTCCTCTAGCGGTTTATGCCATGACCTCCACCAGGAACCTTGGGGTAAACTTCAACTTTGGGTTTGTCTTGGATGGTCATTTTCAGTTTTTGTTGACAGCAGACACAAATTGCCAACTTGGTTTAGATTTTCAAAAATCATCTAAAAACTTAAAATAACTTTTGAATTGATATGATAAATGATAAATGACCCGCACTTGTATAGCGCCTCTCAGAGTAATGACTCCAAAGCGCTTTACACTACAGTGTATCATTCATCCATTCACACACACATTCACACACTGATGGGGATGGTAAATGGCCTGTATTTGATGAAGCCATTTACCATCACCATCTGATGAGCTGCGATGTAGCCACAGCTGCCCTGGGTAGCACGGACAGAGGCGAGGCTGTCGAGCACAGGCGCCACCGGTCCCTCAGACCACCACCAGCAGGCAAGGTGGGTTAAGTGTTTTGCCCAAGGACACAACAGCAGAATTCTCTGTCCGGAGCCGGGATCGAACCTGCAACCTTCCAATTACTGGACAACCTGCTTAACCTGTTGAGCTACTGCTGCCTTTTGAACTGATATGGTGTTTCTGTTTAGCGCATTGAGGCCGTTGTCTTGAAAAGTGTGAAATAAATACAGTTTTACGCACTATTTTTCTGAGTGGTTTCTCAGAAAAGATAAAAACTGGTCTGTTTCATTCTAATGTTCTTTAGCTCAAAAGTCACCATGATTCTCAACAGCCTGCATCTCCTTAAGGCCATGCACACATGGAACCGGGTATCCCACAAAGTGAAGCCATGTTTCTATGGTTTGGCCCATCATCCACACTAAATTTACGGCACCAAAACACGATTATTTCAAAAACGTCCTTAGTAGAAATTCTCCACTGTCAGCATTTGCTTGTGAGTGTAAATAAATAGAGTTTTAGGTTCCATACAGTCACTGCCCATGACACAAACGCTCCAACATCACGTGTGACCTGTGTTTACACTCACCTTCTTGTTTTTACGAGCTCAAAACAATGCTGTAAGTCGAAGACCGCATGCGACGGATGATGAGAGCCGTTTCTGGCAAATACGTTGATGATTTGAGGAACTACTGCCACCTACAGGCTTGGCATGCCCATGAATATGCTGCACAATGCACTGGACCTTTTTCTGAAAACGAGGTGGTGTGGACCCAAGTTTTTTCCCCAAAGGAGTGGGGGAAGATTTTTGGTTTTACAAAAACCCAGCTACGTGTGTGTGCATGGCTTAACATGAAAGATTTCCATCTCTGTGTGCATCTTCTTTGTCCGTCCTTCAGTCTAAACCTATTAAATCACTCTGCGGACACAACTGCATATTCTTGAGTCTGACCTTCTCCTTCTGTCGTCCTGCCTGCAGTGAGCTCCAACCAGAGCCATGGGGAGTACCCAGACTGTCGGGGTGAGAGGGATACTGGTGGGGAGGCATCTCTCCTGGTGTCTCCGCTGGTGGTTGCTGGGATTGTTATAGGTCTTGTCCTTTTCCTCTCCTGCATCACTATCATCATCGGCAGCCTGCGCAAAGACAGTCGACTCAGAAACCCACACTTTCGAGCCAGCTATGGTCAGTTTCTGACATTTCTGTTGATGTTCCAACAGGTCTGACGTAGCCACGTTCACATAGGAGAATTCTGAAAACAAACGATTAACTGGATTTACTGTCATATTCACCTATTGTGAAATTATTCAGAGTCAGAATAACATGCAGCTTTGTGTCTTCAGGACCAGATGGTTTTTCCTATGGAGGTTCTGCAGGTGAACTGAGGTCTAGCTGCATAGAGGACTTTCCTCCTGGTACTGATTTTGATCCGTTCAGAGAGAATCTGCCTCCAATGAACAACCTGTATCCTGACTCACCACCGCGGTAAGTGCTGCAGCTACACGAATGATTGCCTCACGTTCATTTGATGATATGGACATTTTATAGATTTATTTAAAAAGACTAACTGAAATAGCACATGGGAGGTCCTTTGACCTCATGATTTTCATTTACTCCAACATGCATTGTGAGCTGTAAGGTCTTATGTAGACAGGTGTGTGGCTTTCCTAATCAAGTCCAATCAGTATAATCAAACACAGCTGGACTCCAGTAGGATCATCTCTAGGATGAACAGAAGAAATGCACTGGAGGTAAATATGTGTGTCCCAGCAGAGAGTCGGAATGCTTTTGATATTTCAGTTTGTCCTTTTTTTAATGAATCTGCATGAATTTCTAAAAATCTGTGTTTTCTGTCAATATTGGGTGTTGTGTGTACATCAATGAGGAAAATAATGAATTTAATTGATTTTAGCAAATGGCTGCAATATAACAAAGAGTGAAAAAACTGACAGGGGTCTGAAATACTTTCCGTACCCACTGTACATCATGAGCAGGAGAAAATGATTTAAAAAAATGCAGACATTACTGCAAACCTTCATTACTTCAAAAACAAATGTAAACTAGGTCTATGATGTGGAATAAAGGTGCTAAATTACTTTTGGATTGAAGGATGCTGGCTTTATTAGTAATAATGACAGGTGTTGCTCTTTATATACTGGTCCATGTTCCAACCCTTACCTATGGTCATGAGGGATTATGTGATGACGGGGAGAGTGCTGCTGGAGAGAGCATGACCCTAGATGTCTTCACTCCATGAGGTGAATTTGGAAGAGTTGTGGAAAATCCTATTATATAATTTAATGCATTTTACTGTGGATCAGAATTTAGTTAAACCATCTACAACTCCTTCAGTAATTTCGCCTGACAAAAATACCAAATTTAAAGGTGGAACACTAAAAATAAATATATTTTTAAATTTTAATTCTGATTACAATCAGTTACTAAGTTTTCCATGCATGCCGAACAAGAAAATATTCTCCTACATCTATCTCCTACATTAGGCTGTTGTATGAATGTTGGACGGGGGGAGGTGCTGCCGTGCAACCGTTTGGATCGCTATAATGCACAAAAAACACAATGCCCTTAGCACTTAGCTGCTCTCATGTTGCTGCTGGCTGTTCATTACACCAGCCCTCTATGTGACAGCGCACCTCCCGTTCACTCCGTCGTACCAGGAAGGTGCGCGCGGGGTTCGAGGGCCACAAAGAGGGTCCGCCAATGATGACCACTGGCCTAGAGGCTCTTTTATGCAATGTAAGGAATGCAGAACTGTCAAGTACACATGTGGCAGGAATGGCCAATCACACGTTAGCAAGTATCAGCAGAGCCAATAGATGAGCTTATGGACGGTTCTAATGGGAATCAGGCTTGAACACAAGCGGTTGCTTCCCGCTTGGTCCTAGTGCTCCACCAGTGTCTATTTAATATAGTGTAATATTGTTTTTGGACGACCATGCACAGAGAAAGCAGTCAGTGGTAAAGTTGTGTTTTTGTTGCCAATTCGATGCAAGTTGTCCAAATATCAGGAAATAAGATTCCAAATTTTGATGTTAGTTCAATTCTGATGTGGCTCACTTACTTCTAGTTCCTTTAAAATGTTGCACGGGGCCCGTTCCCCCCTGAGTATGACTTACAAGGCATTCATTCCTACTAGAGAACACTGCAAATATATTGATTAAATGAGTGCTCCACACTTTTAAAGGGGTGCAATTAATTTTTGCCCAGTGGCAAAAGAACTCAATGCTAGTTGTCTTACCTATCCTTTACAGTAGTCATTTGTGGTAAAACCTGATTTAAAATGCCCCAAAGGAATAATTGAATACTCAAACCTTTTGGTAAATAAAAGCAGATCGGCTTCCTTTTGCCAATTATGTCAAATGTCAAACATAAAATGCATCAGACCATTCATCCTGTGCTCCCCACTGTTCTTAGTGCACTTGGTCTGACCCATTATTTGTTGTAATTTCCATTTTTAGAACTCAATGCCACCTTTAGTGCCATTTGAAAGAGTGTTTGTGCACACTTTATATGTGAAGGAAGAGGGACAGAGAAAGAAAGAGCTTACCAAGAGCCAGTGTGATGGTATTTTTGATCTAAATGTCAGCTGGACTAATTGACAACTTTAATAATTCACACATATCCACACCCTGCTGAATGCATGGGATGCCCTCCCTTTTCTAAACGCCCTCAAAAAGTATATATTTTTTAGCCTTAACATCCATCTGAGGCCTGATAGAGTCCATAATGTGAATCCCACCAATGTAAGTTTGAAGTCACCGTTTTACACACAGCTTATGCACTCTAAGCTTTCAGCAGACTCAGCAGTGTTAGAAACGCTCCATATGGATCTGATTTGTGCTGATTCTGCAGCATTGCATGTTTCTTAATGCCTTTTGGCCATACATTTATCACACCAAATTTAAGGCAAAGTGTCCGTGCTGAGGTTGTGAACTGGGAAATGTTGTGTTCTTGAGGTTACCACACAGCAAAGATAAATGCATCATCTGTGAGGAGATGCACCGGCTCGCACCAGGGTTTGGTAGTAGGGAAATGATGCTCTTTGAGATATCATCACATGCTTTTTTTTAATGTATAGTGGCATTTCTCATTAATCAAGCTCATGAAAATTTTTGTAAAAAAAATAAATAAAATTACGAGTGAGACAGTTAGAATCATGAAAAAGGATAGAAAAGCAACAAAAAGGGAAGCTCGCAAAATACGTCAGCAATCTGGCAGGGGACCAGGTTATTCTGGACTGACTGTGTGAGAGCCACATTTTTTGGCCTGGATGATGGGAAAGCAGCCAACACAAACACAGGAACACACACTTCTACTCATACACATATAGAAATCACACATTTAGTTTACCATGATTCTGGCAGGTTGTCTGCACTGTGAAGCAGGTAGGCTGCCGTCATGTGACGCTCCTGCAGGGTGTTCGAACATTTCTGTTGGTGCTCGACTGCACGGGCCACAGATGGTGGAGGAAAACTCTGAGAACTCAGATCAACAGCTTACCTACTGAGACTGTGAACATTAATGCTTCCAAAACACACACACACACACACACACACACACACACACACACACACACACACACACACACACACACACACACACACACACACACACACACACACACACACACCAGCTCACCTATGGGGAGTGAAAGCTTCTGCTTCCTCTCAGGGAGAAGCTGAGCAGGTTTGTGTGTGCGTGCGCGCGCGTGTGTGTGTGTGTGTGTGTGTGTGTGTGTGTGTGTGTGTGTGTGTGTGTGTGTGTGTGTGTGTGTGTGTGTGTGTGTGTGTGTGTACACGTGCACACACACTTCCTGTCCTCTTGCTACACGACTGCATAATTGTGTAGAAAAGCAAACTTTTGCACTGGTGACTATTTGAAGCAGAGCATAAAGGCAGAATTGTGAAGTTAAAACCAAAGATTTGCACCCACAGTTGTAGAATAAAACAATTGTTGGTTCTTTTTTTTTCTTCTCAGTCCAAGCCTACACACCGCGTGGGCCCTCTTCCTCCAGGGTCCACAATGTGAGCCAGAACAAACACTCTAAACACAGTTGTGATGATGGTCTTCCATATTTTTAGCATTCACCTACATACCTGAACTACGAGGTTGAAGACAAAAGTTTGTTTAGTTTTCTCTGTTGCACTAGTGTCAATTCTTAATGTGTGTTTATTATGGGAAGTACTTTAAACTAGCTTTAACTTATGACAGGAATAATAATGTCACATTCTTCAAACGGTACATTAAAAACAGAACCTTTATAGACGTTCTGCAGCCAACTACATACTACTATAACTATGGTCAACATCACAGCAGATCCTTCCCCGCACACCAAGTTGAAAATACCTTTTAAATTACAGATTTTTGAAAAGTCATATTTAGGATGCAGATGTTTCCTTAAGGATTGTTGATATCATTGACTTTCTTTTTAGCACAACTTTACTGACGCTTTTAAAGGTAGTGGCCAGACTCAGCATTAAAATTGTAGAAATACAGTATAACTACACTTTACCGTCTATATAAATATGAACTGGGTTCAGTTTTTCATTTTGTTAAGGAATTTAGTCGTAAATCATTACAGAAAATCAAAATTCTCTCCTCTAGGCAGCGAAGAACTGTGTTTTACATACGTCACTCACACACGTCATACTAGGTAGCTGCTGTTGCTAGCATGGTAAATCACTGTATTTTGTTTACTATCGTGTTCCTAATTTATACAGAAAATTGTGTTTACAGCTGCAGCTAAAGGTCTGAGCCATATGTCCGTGTCCTACATGTATTTTTAACTAACATAGGTTTGATCTAAAATAATAAACTACATCTATAAATCCATTTAGAGCCGCACCGGTACTTCTGGACTCCAGCAGGCGAGTCTCGTTAGCATGACTGCCGCAGCGCTAACCGTGTTAGCTCCGGTAAAGAACAAGTAATTTGTGAAAGCTACGAGACACACACACACAATTTAAAAGATGATCCCCATTTTTCAACAATAGCTCCTCCTATAGGACCGGTAGAACCTCCGTGTCATCTCCGAGCGGGCGAGTAAGCATCAGGAAGATTTATTCTGGTAAGCAATCGGTTAAATATTTTCCGATGTTATATCAATAAATACACACAGTGGTAAAGCTGGCAACATGTTATTTTACTCATCTGTAGATTACTGAATTATATTGGGACAATATCGATGGGGTAATCAGCTGAGAACTTAACTGAAAGCTATCGGTGGAGCACAGACATGAAATAATTAACAAACTTTAACAAACTGTACCGATTTTGTTTCCGAAGACGAACAAAATCCTCCCCGGTGTCCCCATCAGGCCACGGGTTTTCTGAGCGAAATGGTCCAAAGCATGTCGGCAGCTCCAGTTCTGATATCCAGCTGCAGGGCACAGAGTTCGGTTGAATGTCTCCGGTAATCCAATATCCGTTCTTGTTGCCGTATCCCAGAGAAAAAACCCCAAATGTGA